CAATGAAATCTGCTAGCATCTCTTGTGTTGGCTCAGAGTTGATTTTGCCAAAGAGATTTAGACGTTTCCATCCTGTCGCCCCCACTCTGGCAACTGAGTTAATTTGGCAATGGAGATTCTCAATATTGGTGAACCTACAAGTGTTGAATGTCGCTGATAATGAAAGCTTACTTAGTCCACTGAGTGCACACACTTCCTCTCTCTTTCCCCCCTTTTGCATATCCTCTGTTGTTGGGTGTGTGTTTTTTAACACAGATGCTGTATACAAGAAAGTTTAATGATGCTGCCTTGTCAGAGAACTGGGTCACCATATTGCTGCTGATTAGCAAGCTGTTTCTGAAGCAACCTTTGCTTATGCATTTTTTGAAAGTTACTTTCATACTGTCATAACTTCTGGAGGGCACAGATGTTCCCTTCCAATTACTCTTAAGGAGATTTTAAATCTGAACTGCTTTGGTTGACAACTGCACTGTGACGATGCATACTGAAATCAATTCCCAAGTTAGCTACCTTTTTTGTTCAGAATGGCAAAGAAAGTTTCTCTCAGTTGTATATAGAAACAATGAATGATATCCAGCAACCATCAAGAGGTGCCAGGACTTACATGGTCACTTTTTTGCTAAAGCTGTTTAAATGAATGCCAAGGGCAGACAGGCATGATGGATACTAATAAGACTATGGAAGATTTTGTTTACCAAATCCTAATTTGATTGCACTCTACATTAGTCAACTCAGATGAAATGCAGCTTCATACACTACATTATGCTCTTAGGAAGGGATATCAAAACACAAACTACATGCACTGTGTGCCTATGCAACACAAAGGGTGCAAACATATGACATGCAATTATTTTTCAGTGGTGATTTTCAAATGTGGACCACATTTTATAGATACACTCTGAACATTTATAGAACTAATTACATGCATGCGTGTCCTTTTTACAACTGGAATGGGAGTTTATTTATCACATCTGCATCCTGATGTTTAAATGAGTTCAGAGTGGCATGAACTTCACGACAAACTTGTTTAAGGTTGAAAGATGCTGTGACTCACTAGGCCTGTGTTATTAGTTGTGTAAATCACCAGGATTACTAGGTAGCCTTGTGCAGCGAGGCTTACCTTTTTGATGAGGGAATGATACTCAGCTATTTCTCTCAACGTAACATGCTGTGCAGCTTCACCTTAACCCCACATGCCCAAACCAGTCAACAAGCTTCATAATAATATCCCCTTGTTCAACTCTGACTCTCTAGCCAGCACACACACAGTGGTTGCTCATTCTTCCAGTGTCAGCAATTCCCAAGTGACCTCTCTAACTAACAAAAAGGCATTTTTTAGAATAAAATTATTTATTCTTCATCCATGCTTTCACAAAGTATTTCTCATTAAGTAGGTCAGATAAATGGACTGAGGCACTGTTAGTGGGTGGTTCCCTAGACCAGATGGATGGGAAGTTGCCTGCTCTTGATGGGGTTACATTCCCTCTGAAGCAGCAGGTATGTAGCTTGGGGGTATGCCTAGAACCATTGCTGTTGCTTGAGGCTCAGGTGCCCTCAGTGGCAAGGAGTACTTTCCATTAGGGCTAATTCAAAGTAATGGTTTTGACCTGTTAGTCCTTAAATGGCTCGGGGCCAGAATACCTCAATGCCTCTCCTCATATGAACTATCCCAGACACTGAATTCATAACCTGAGAGCCTTCTCCATGTGCCTCCTCCATGAGAGATCCAAAGGGCTGCAACACAATAATGGGCTTTTCCTGCGGTGGCTATACATTTGTGGAATTCTCTTCCCAGAGAGGCTCACATTGGGTGTCAATTTGATAGATTTAGCTTTAAACACAAGCTGACTAAAATTTCTCCCCCAGCCCTACTTTGGAGTAAGTACCACTAAATGCTGTGGGCCCTACTTCCAAGTAGACATGTATTTGTAAGATTCTCATCCTTTTGCTGGTACAGATGTGTGATGTTTGAGTTAGAATAGCATTTAAGGTAATCACCACTTTCCTATAATGACTTCCAAAATGTGTATTTTGGGTTGCATGGTTCTTACTAGCCACATGTAGATGAGCAATATGGCCATTTAGGAAATTAAAACTGTACTAATGAAAATGCAAGTCTTGCTTCTGCCTAAATATTCTTGAACAATAAAGAAAATTCCATTAAGGAAATTAGAAAGGACTTTCCTTTATTGCCTCTTTTTGTAAAATCAGATCAAGCAGTATGCCCGCATATGCTATTTGGTACATTAATCTGCTTCTTCAAACAGTGTGCAACCAATTGCTAAAAGTTACACAACATTGCATTATTTTAAATGGACCACCTACATTGCCCTAAAGATATTCTCCAAGATAACTTATCTGCTTCAGACACAGTATTGATGGCATACATTTTCTAAAATGAAGTTCTAAAAGATGACTGTACAATGGCAGTGCAATGGCATCATGGTGTGTTTAGAAGAATAGTTTAATTCCTCAGCTTACCAGGACAAAGCAGCTGAGAGATCCCAAATAAAGCACAAATCAAAGTAGCTATACTTTATTTTTATGAATATTGTTACAAATAGAAACAGGTGGTGATATTTGTGTGCACAGTTACTTAATAAACTAGATGGTAACATTTACTTCATTACAGTTACCTTAATTTTTTTAAAAAAATGTTAACACTATATGGTTCCTCTCAGTGTGAATGATCTGCCACTCTAAGAGGATATGGAAGAGATTCAGTTCCTCCCATAGCCAAACCTAAGCCAAATTCCCTATAACACTCCTATCCAGTTAAGATTCAGCAAGCTAGGCTCTGAGGACTATATTTGCAATCTTCAGTTAAGACTGCAACCTCTTCCATGTGGAGTCTCTCAGGTCTTTTGCTTCCCCCCGGTCCAGCCAGGGCCGTCTTTTCTATTTGGTTTAGTGGGTCCTGCGCCACGGCGCCTGCCCAGCAGCGGGCAGCAAAGCCTACAGCTAGCGGTGCTTTGCTGCCACTTTGCCACTCACTGTAGGCTTGGGAGTCAGAGCAGCTGGCCCACTTCCATTCATGGGAAAAAGGCTCTGGAGGGCAAGACCAAACTTACTTGAGATTGCCCCTTTCTTTTTAGTGTGTGTGCTCATCCCCTGCCGAAATTTTGTGTGTGTGTGTGTGGTGAGTTCCCCCTGCGTTACTGGTTTGGGTTCTAATGAGCTGCCTGCCTCTTTAAGAGGCTTCCGCTCTGCTGCTAAGGCTTTGGATTTTTGAGGGCTCTCTTCCCTTTCCCCCTGTTGCCTGCTTTCGTTTTTTTCATCTCCGTTTACAGAGCTTGGAGAATATCTGCTCCTTTAAGGAATCAGCATTGATACCCCCCCAATTACTGAGCGGGTGTGTGAAATCAGGTGAATCCCCACCCTCTGGGGAAAGTTTGCAACTCAAAACTTCCCCCTCCAAAGCTGATTTTGTTAAGAGCTCCTCCTGCTTGGCGCCACTTTGGGGGATATCCCTGCTTCTTGATGGGGGCAAGTTCTCTTTTGGAAGAGCAAGTCTGGGCTGGTGGAAGGAATCCTGCAAATATCCGATGGTGCCACTTCGTTAGGTGTGGTTTTGTGTGTGTTATCTCTCCCCTCCCGCTTTTTTTTCTTTTCATTGGGAAGTTCTAGGACTAGTGGGAAAGGAAGTATGTATGACAGCCCCCAGACTTTTGCAGGTGGAAATAATATTGATGCATGTCCAATAAAAAGGACGTTCAGAAGCACCTAATGTTCCCTGGACTTTTGTTTTACACATAAAAATCTGCTTGCTCCCAAAGACTTGTCTTTCTGTCTCTGCACCAAACACTGCTTTGGAGCAACTTCTTTCTGATTGGTGGTTAAAATGACTGTTTTAACCATGCGCACTTCTTCAGATATCTGATATCAGGTATCTGAAGAAGTGTGCATGCACACCAAAGCTCATACCCATAACAAACAGTTGGTCTCTAAGATGCTACTGGACAATTTTTGGAAGGATTCTTTTAATGACTTTTTTAGAAGGAAAAAAAATGAACGACTTGAGTCATTTAAAGGAATTTTTTGGAAGAGTTTTTTAAATAATCTTTTTCAAGTCTTTTTTATTTCGACTATGGCAGACCAACACGACAACCTACCTGTTGTTGTTTTTTAAATAATAATCCTTAAAGCCATGTTTTAGTACAGTATAAGCTATGATCCAACAGGATAAACTAGAATGTCCATGAACTGATATAACAACAACAGCAACAATTTTATTATTTGCCACCCAGAGTGGCTGGGGAAACTCAGCCAGATGGGCGGGGTATAAATAATAAATTGCTGTTGTTGTTGTTGTTGTTTGTACCCCATCTATCTGACTGGATTGCCCCAGCCACTCTGGGAGTTTACCAGCTTCTGATACATTGGCTCCTTCATATAAAGGGAGAAACATCACTAACAGTACCATCTTTGAATTGATTTGTAGTGATTGCCCCATTCCCTAAAGAAGTGGATGTTCTGCTGGTGACATGGAGTTTGATCACCCTCAGCTTTTCACTTTCCTGCCACTACAGGTAAGTTATAGGTCTCTTGTAGAAAAAGGAAAGAGAGGAGCTTGGGCTATAGAGAAAGCAGAGGTAGGCACGAGATTGGAGTCAGCCAGGCCCTATTTGACCCAACCTAAGTCATCAGGGGTGTTAGGGGATGGGTAGTACCTCTGGTGGGGGACATGCCATGCTAATTCTGGAGGAGTTTGCCCATGTTTAGTCCCCAACCTGCACTCATCTTGTAGGAGCCATAGGTGAGAGCTATCAGCATGCGACAGAGGTGATACCCGGGAATGGCTTTGAGTAGCCAGCTAAACCAGGTGAGAGTAGTTGATGAGTCTCAAACTCTCAGAAAGTTAGGGACTTACCCTGGATATGAAAACAGGCTCTGGTGGATTGAGTGGACAAGACCAATAGTATGTTCGACATTCAAGAAGATGGTTTCTGAAAATCCTGTAGAGGGAGATGGGCAGATATGGCTCATCAGCCTGAGAAGGTAGCTCATCTAGGAGAAGGAAAACTCTGATCCTAAATCTTCACTGCCTTGCAGGATATCTTCAAGAGAAGAAAAGGTTAAGGAGTATACCATACACATATCCAGAGTTAAGGCCCTAAGGTGGTTAGATGGCACTTTGTATGCCTCCTTCCTGTAACTCCTGCAGCCAAGCTGGTGCCAAACGTCTTGCTCTGCTTTCCTTTGGACCACATCAACAAGGCCAAGATTGTCATCTTGGCAGCCCAGAACCTCTATGCACACTGCCTAGGGTTGCTCACCAGTGAGGTCACTTCAGTGCTACAAATGCAGTGGTTTGACTTCATCCCCAGAGGCACACTCCATTGTCTCTCGAGACAGATGCCAACAACTCATCAGGAATCAACTTTTGTGAACATAACTTTTTGATGTCTCACAACATCCCTATATAGAGAGGTTAAACAATGGATGAAGTACTTGCTTTTGAAAGACTTTATAATCTTGCGTGGAGGATTGGTTGATTTGTCCTATGTGCACAGAGAGATGTTTGATTGCTACATTAGTGAGGTCAGGAAGAAGGGTGTTTAATTCCACTCCCCCCCGAAACAGGCTAATTGGTAGGAGACCATCTGCCACATCCTGAAGCATAGCTGCTTGAGTCCTCTGGAGAGATCACACTAAACCTTCTCCATTCACTGTAAAAACATTTATTGCCTTAATATCTAATCTGATCTCAGTGTGTAGCACTCATTTTCAGTTGAAGTCTTTTATTGATTACTATTTGACTTATTTATGTGCCTTTAATTAAAGCCATAGCACAATGGTTCACAATAGGATAAATTCATTGATCTATCTAACAGTGACATCCATGAAGCGGTAAAACTGACATTAAAATAACTGTGGCCCAGAAATGCCTGGCCAAATTAGTAACCACCACAGTTAGTACCTGCCAGATATTTGGCAGGTGATCATTCCACAAAACAGGTCATACCACCAAGAAGGCCCTCTTTAATATGGTCATGTGATGCATTTCCACACAGCACAGAATGACCAGGAGGGCCACCTCTGAGTATCAATGTGGTCAGTCTGAGGAATATGGGGGAAGGCATTGCCTCAGATAGCCTGGTTGCATGCTGTTTATAAATCAACATCAACACCTTAAACTTGGACTTGGTAGCAGATTGGCAGCCAGTGCAATTTCTTTAGCATATGCTCTGTGTGTATGCTGCGAGGTGCTAAACTCAGCAACCTAGAAGCCACATTTTGCACCAGCTTCAGCTTTTGAACCAAGTTGTGGGACAGCATCACATAGGGAGCATTGTGAAAATCCAGTCTTGATGTTACCAATGTCAGCATTAATAAGCTATTGGACCTTCCAATGATCCCAAGCATACCTCAAATTCCAGCAAGGCTTGGTTGCAGAAGTCCTGGAAAGTTCTACAGTGGCCACCACAGTCACCTGACTTGAACCCCATAGAAAATCTCTGATGGGATTTGAAGGTGGTTGCACCATGCAAACTCAAGAATATTGCTGAACTGGAGGTCATTGCTCATGAGGAACGGGCTACGATTCTTCAGAAATGGGGCCAAGAGTTGCTGTCTGGTTTGCATCCCGTTTGCAGCAGGTCATAGCAGCGAAAGGCTGCTCTGCTAAGTACTAAAGATGCTTGCCATGAAGGGGTTGAATAGTAGTGAGACTGGAGAAGCCAGTATAAGTTGCAATTTTAGCTGAATTTGGGGGAAACACTTGAAGCATCCATTGTGTTGAGCTATTTCAATTGCTTTTGTTTGATTTGCTCATTGTAAACATCTGATAGTCTAAATTTTGATAATAAACCTGATTTATAATGGGGGCTGAATAATTTCGATTGCACAGCATGATGGAAGGCAAAAACATACAGGGTCACTTTTCCACTGCAAGGGAGATGAGGGAAAGATGCATTAGTCACCTTTCCAACAACCCTGTAAGGTAATACAAAGGAGCACTTGCTCTTAACTCCAACATTCACTGACTGGAGGAACACAAGTTTAAGTTAGGGAACTTTCCTCAATTTGGGCACAATCCACCATTAGCGTGGAAAGGAAAACTCCACATTCACTGTCTGTTAACAGTGACATGTGACCAAAGACACAGACCATCAGCTACAAAGTCATTTGAAATAACATTGGCTCAAACAGCAACTGCATCACTAATAATGACACATGCTGGAAGACCCTAAAAATGAAACGTGAGATGAACCTGATGATTTTGCAATACATATATATATGAAAGGTAAAGGTAAAGGATCCCTGGACTCCAGTCAAACGACTCCAGTCAAAGGCAACTATGGGGTTGTGGCGCTCATCTCGCTTTCAAACCAGTGTTTGTCCACAGACCACTTTCCAGGTCATGTGTCCAGCATGACTAAACTGCTTCTGGTGCAACGGGACACTGTGACGGAAGCCAGAGCGCACGGAAATGCCGTTTACCTTCCTACCACTGTGGTACCTATTTATCTACTTGCACTGGTATGCTTTCAAACTGCTAGGTTGGCAGAAACTGGGACAGAGCTTACTCCGTTGCAAGGATTTGAACTGCTGACCTTCCGATCAGCAAGCCCAAGAGGCTCAGTGGTTTAGGCCACAGCGCCAACTGCGTCCCTATACATGTAATACATGTAGGTCCCGCTTTGTAGGTACAATACATTCCTGGTTTCTGCCCAAAATGGCTGCTACCAACCAGCAAAACACAAATAAATAAGCAAGTAGGCAAACTCTGGCTTTTCAGATTTCTGAATTAGCTGTTAGTGTTGTGAGGTTTGGGTATAATTCTTGGTGTTTGGATAACTGAAATTTCTGATAATGACCATTCCAGCAGTGGGACCTGCATGTACTGACATTTGAGATGTTGAAACCCACCTTTTAAATGCTAAAATCCACAGCTGACCTTTGTCTTGGTGACAAATTTCAATCAATGAATCTATTGTTCATCATAAATTTCAAATGTTGTGTTGCAGATTTGAAAACATTTTTGTATAAACTCAGTATAGTTTTAATCCTGGGTGCAACAAAAATATAAAGAGATGAATTACAGTCTAGTTCACATTTCTTGTAAAAGTTAAGATCTAATAGCTATAGCTAGCAAGTACTGAAAACCAGAGTATGATTTGACTTTTTGCTAATAAGCATGTGCCTTGGGATAATATTAATGTTAAACATTCTGAAATGTTTGCATGTGTTCGAAAGGTCAAAGCGTTGGAAAGTTATTTTGTTTGGGGGCTCAGATTGACACTTCGAGCAATCAGTGCTGTTTTGCTCTCTGTGTTGTTTAACAAATCTCCTGAGCCTTCCGTTTCTTAAATCAAAAAGGGCCAGAGGCGGGAAACCTCCATAAATGCGCTTTGGAAAAAAGAGTGTGCTAATTTCTTGCTTGCCTATCTCACATTTGCTGCACTAAATTCATATGAAACACCAATTAATCAGCTTTGGGGTTTTTTTTAGTATTATGCGCATTTGACTTATTCTGATTTGACTTCAGGAGTGCATGAGCCGCCATAACCTCTATGTCTTCTCCTTTTGCTTGAAATAATCCACCCTTTCTTTTAATCTCATCATTACTTTCCATTTGTTTTGCAACCAGTAAATGCTAGGAGAGTTCATGAAGCACCTTATTAGGTTTTGTGACCTCTGGATGAGGAGTTGTGATTCAGGCAGCCAATCATTTATGCACTTTGTCTTTTGGAATAAAACCCTGATACCCATTGAGTCAGTTTATGTTGAAGTAAGGGTAGCAGAAATGCAGCTAAGAAGGTCAAATAATATATATGACTGATAACCTCATTTGGAAATTAGACTAGTGTCTGGACTTTAACATTCAAAAACTTTACTTGCAGCAACTTATAGATGAATTAAAACACAATATTTACAGACGCATGCTTCTCCAAGCATGGGCTTACAGTTCTTCTAATTTCCAAACAACTGTATTTTTCTCTCTTTCTAGAACTCAGCACTCAGCCTTCTGTATCTCTCTTAGGCCATGTCTTGCAGGTCCTATGAGACATTTCCACTTTTACCTTCTTCTTCTGCAGCTTTGCTTTCTTTTTTTCAAGCAGAGAAGTAGCACTCAAACACTCTATTCTATTTAGCAGTGTTCACAGTGGACTCTAAAACACAGTAATCTTGCTTCACATAAAATGGAGTCTCTCCTTCACTAGATACCTCCCATGTGACCAACATTAGCCAATCACATGAGAATTCAGTTACCAACCAATCAAATTTAAACACATAGTAATGAACAGTGCTTTTTTCTCGGGCAGGGGTCTGCAACCTTTAAGACAAAAAGAGCCACTTGGACCCGTTTCCGAAGAAAAAAAAACTGGGAGCCACAAAACCACTGCATGCGCGCCGCTGCCCTCTGATCTGACAGCGGGCGGGAAGGTGACGTCGGGACGGTGCGTGACTAACGCACGCACCGCCCCCATGCGACGTCACAGCCAGTACAGCGCCCGCCACAGTGGGGAGTGTCGGGGCACACAATGCGTCTCCTCCCCTCGCTAGTATCTGCCCCGGAGCCGCGGCAAAGGTGTAAAAGAGCCACATGCGGCTCCGGAGCCGCGGGTTGCTGACCCCTGTTCTGAGGGAATGCAGGGGTACGTATACCCCTAAACATTTTGTGAATCTAAGTTTGGCCTCATTGAGGGGCAGTATTTCAATATGAGTAGGAAAATGAGACTACCCCTAAACATTTTTTTTAACAAAAAAAGCACTGGTAATGCATACAAGCACCTACAATTTCAGTGAATTAAATTAGTATACTTAATAGTTTAGGACTGAGGTGTTTCACATAACCCCCCGAGTTTGGGTCTAAAACTCTGATACTAATAAGAAAGTAAAATCTACACAAATCTGGAGTTCCTAAGACAACCTTGTAAGCCTCATTCCAGCAACTCTTGCAGCCAAGCTGGTGACAAACATTTTTCTCTGCTTTCAGTGAGGCTAAGAGTGTGGCATTGTCATCTGGATAGCCCAGGATCTTCATACACAAAGCCCAGGCTTGCACCTTGGGGAGGTCATTTCAGTGCGGCAAAAACAGTGGTTTGACTTTACCCCCACAGGCATACTCCATAGTCTCTTGGAACAGATGGATGCCAATAACAAACTGCTATATAATATGAAGACCTGAGCTCAATACTGGAAAAATCAAAGAACCAAGAGAAACCGAAATTGACATTCACTCATCCCTTGTTGTCACCAATGCACCCAATACAAGAGGTATTGCACATGTAGCTTTGAATGGCAAAAGGTATCACTACCTCTACTATCAAGATGAATATATAATATCACATGTTGTACCTATCAGTTGCTATAACGCTCAGCCTTTGGTTAATAAAAATGTTAAGTCATTTTGCTATTAGGATATGGCTTTTGAAATATTGGAAAGAGACTCATTTTGCATTCTAATTTTTCAACCTGCCTGCTTGAAGAAAATGCCACAGCCACATTACAAAGTGCGTAGGCACCAAAGGTCAAATTTACAATTCATATTCTGACACAGTAAGTTTAATTAAAAGATAATAAAAGGCAATCATTTATTGATAGTTTTAACATTAATGAATGACTTTGACCTCAGGCATAGCTGCTGTTCCCTAGTTAAAGCAAAATATGACTGCCTTGTCATTACAAGATTTTTATTAGTATTAATGGTTTTAACTTTCCTCCCATGTATATGTCACAATATGTCAACAGTTCATTGAAAAAAAACTATTGATATGTTTCCAATTTGTAAACAACCCTAAAACCCTGTCTCTACAGATTCCTTGTGTTATACCCCAAACAACGTTTCACATATGAAAATACATGCACTCTTGTATCACCGTTATCTTCATACTAAGGAGCAGCGCCTGAACACCACATGCACCTAAGAACATAAGCAGAACCTGCTGGATCAGGTCCATCTAGTCCAGCATCCTGTTCTCACAGTGGCCAACTAAATGCACTTGCAGAATTCCAAAACCTGAACTTTTCTGTTCTCTCATTTATTGTACAATACATTTAAAATCAGATGGGAATTTGTTGTTTAAATCACTGATTGAGAGTACAACAAAGTCAAACAAAAATAATTGTCCTGGAATAAGTTATTGAAGTGCCAAATGCAATATATTTACTATGAAATCCTTGTTTGGGTTCATCGTGGGGCTCAAGCTACACATAGTTTAAACCACATCAGTTGAAGTGTAATTATTACATTATGCTTCTTGTTTAAAAGAGAAATAGCATACTGGCCACCTTCCAGGATTGGGAGCATGGTGTAAATAGATAGAGGGCATTCCTCCCCTGCCACTGTTTGGATGAAAATTGCTCCCTCCTCCCAGCTTGACGATCCCACTGGCATCAAAGTGAACTTTCATCATAGGATTAATGGCATCAGGGATTGGGAGGGGACTTCCTCATAGGGACTGTGATGGGGAGAACAGGGTAAACCTGATCCCTGAATCTTCATTAATACATAAATGGCAAGCGGGGGGGGGGGGGGAGATCCCTCTCCCCTTCCTGTGGTCCAAATGAAAAGCATCCTCCCTCACAGTACCTTGGGCTATTTGACAGGAAGTTGAATGTTGAATTTAATTCTACTATCTGTATTTTCCTGCAATGTCACAGACCTAAATAATTGGCTGTATACCCTTCGGATTATAAGCATGCACACAAAAATAAAGGTCCTGTCTAGTTGTGGTCACATTTGCTGCTCAGGGAAGCAGTAGCACAATGTGGAGATCCCGCCCCCCCCCCCATTGTTAGAGAGAAGTGTTTCACACGTTAGTGTTTCTTACTCAGCTGTGATGCTTTACTTACTTTTTTAACCCTTTTACCTCTGCCACCATATAACTAAATACCTCAGCTTCCTGAGGTTGTGAATAAGTGTGGGACAAAGCAGCACAGGTTCAACTTTAAATTGAAAACAAAGTAAATTTTATTGTATTTTAAATAAGCAGGTGGTGGTGTTAATTTGTATGGTTACTATTAGGGATTTTTTCAGGTTCAGTTTTATCCTTTCTTGAATTCAATTCTCCACATTTCCAAATTGGTTTGCAATTTTTTTTATTTTTTAAAATAAGTTATCATAAATTCACCAGCATTTTACTGCAGAATTATTCGAATATACTGTATATTAGGAGAATTTCAAAATACAATGCACTTTATGTGCTATTTTCACAATATACTTTTTCTCAAAACTTCACTTTGGCATAGGCATCTTTGTACACATTACTTCACTGAAGAACCACATTGCAAAATTCAAAGAGGTGAGAATTTCGAAAGATGGCTGTGTTTCGGTTCACATACTGTTTTGGGAGGTGCAAAATAAGGAAGACTGCATTTAAATGCAAACTGAATATAGTTTCTTCCCCCAGCCCTAATTGGTATGTGTTGATCTTGGTTGGCTACTGTTTCTTCAGTGCAAAATGGTTGCACTGTGTGGTTGCTGCTTCTTTAAGAGGAAAGTTAAGAGAAATTTAGTTCTTCTACCTAATCAAAGCCAATTCCCTAAATCACTCCTGCTCAGTTACCGTAACACCCATTCATTTGGCACTCGTGACTATACTTGCCATAAGGCTCATGAACTCTTCATTCTGGAGTCTCTCAGGTTTTTATCAGGACTTCTGCCACAGTCTTCACACTGGTCCAGTAACCTCTGCTTCTCCAGCTTGCAGCTGACCTCCTCCTCTTGTTTTCTTTTTCACCCATCATCTGACTGACCTTGGCCTCAGATTAGACTTTTATTTCAAAACAGAGTCAATCTCTAGCCAGTCATTTTGAATCTGTATGAAATTCTCTCACCAGTTCTGGTTCATTGTGAAGAGGCAGAATATTTCCTATCAGTTTTTAGTTCACAATAATGGGTTATGAGCCTGTATTTCCAAGCTTGAGATCCCCTTTGCTATAAGCACAGCTTTTTTTCTTTTGCATTATTTTATTAAGTAAGGGAACCATGTCATACTACATGCATAGTGCTTTGGGGGCAGGGGATGTGGAAACCATGTCACTGTTCCCTCAGGAGTGATCACAGGCCTCAGGCCTTTTGTGTTCTGCTCCTGGAGATCAGTTCAGCAACGGAGGGTGTCCACAGCCACATTTCAACAGATGGGCTCTGCTATAGGATTTCTTCTTGCACAATGATTTCACTAAGAGTAACTGAGAGTAGCCTGCTTTGCTGTTTATTAGTTTCGTAGTTTTAATATTGTATGTTTGCTACTCTAATTGGAAACCTGATGAATAGGGTTCTTTATCTGCTTTTTCGCAGTTGTATTTTTTTTACAGTTCGTGCATTGTAACCTACCCTTAGATCTATCACAGTGAAGGATAGGCTATAAATATCTCAAATAAATAAATAATGTTTATAAAAGAACTGCAATTTCAACTCCATCCTAGTAGAAAAACACTGAATATTAATTTTGCTAGCCCCAAAATTCTTTTGAAGGACTAGACTATAGGAGGTATCTATTATTGAAGGTCTGTTGCCCACCCTTTAATTTAAGCAGTTTGTGTTCTCTTATCAGGTACTGGGAGGAACTGATTAAAAGAAATATCATCCTGGATGGTGGCAATGAACAAAATGAATCTTCCTTCCATTGTTAGTGTATCTGACACTAGATAAGGCACAGGGTGGTGGTAGGGGATCTAACCACTGTTGTTTTCCAGAAGTGAATATGCTTTTTAATTGATGCCCTCCAAAAGAGTTGTCGGTGTGCCATTGCTGTTAAGACCCATGAACCAGAAACAATCAGTTCAAATTTTACCTCAGCCATGAATGTAATGGATGACCTTAGGAGCACCATTCTCACCAAGCCTCTCCCAACCACAATAATGTTCTTATTTGAAATATGTATATCTCTCACCTTTCAAGCCAGCTGTTGAGAATAATGAAATATAAGAAGAAAGGCAATATGCAAAAAGAAGTGTCAATAGAAGCATGCAATGTAGCAATGTAATAAGACAGCCAGTACGAAACATATTAAAAAGTTGGAGGAAGGAAAAATCCAGAAGAATGGCATGTGATTATGGCAGGCAAGCAATGACATTCAGCCTTCCTAAATAGGTAGGTCTTAACATCACATGGAAGAACAACAAGATAGAGGCAAGATGAACCTCCTGTGATAATACTGTGATAATAATTCAAGCCAGCCTTACAGCATTGTTGTAAGGACCACTGATGTAATATATATTCATGTAAATCATTTATTCGTCTTTAGGGGAGCAGAATCCATTTCATTCACATAGCCTGAAGAGTCTAGATTGCAGTTCTTCCTGCTTGCTTCACCTTTATAGATATTTCTGCTCCACTTGGCTTCTTTTGCTCTGACAAGATTTGCAGAAGCTAATGTGGAACCAGGAAGAATGCCAAGAAACGGCTTGCTAAAGTTGCTAAAGTTTTGACATGAAAGTCTGACACACACACCCGTCCCACTTCTAGTAGGAACCTGTTCCTGCATCATGACCATTTGATCTATTTTCTACAACAGGTTTTATAACATAGGTCAGTGATCCTAAATTCAAGTTTGTAGCAACTTTCAGTTTCACTAGTTTCAGTGTCTTGGGGAAAATCCAAAGAAGATTTGTTCATCCATGATTGGAACTGGTGGATACATAACTTCTATAGTAACAATCTTCTAATTGGTTGTCTCAGTGACAAATGAGAGTACTAATTATGTCTATAGGAAAAAAACTTCAGCTGAGGAAGTCCTGTTTTGGCGGTCAGCACTTCTAAACCAAGTTTATACAAGTCATAAATTTGTGGCTGCATTATATATTATTATATACAGTGGTACCTTGGGTTACATACGCTTCAGGTTACATACGCTTCAGGTTACAGACTCCGCTAACCCAGAAATATTACCTCAGGTTAAGAACTTTGCTTCAGGATGAGAACAGCAGCAGCAGCAGGAGGCCCCATTAGCTAAAGTGGTGCTTCAGGTTAAGAACAGTTTCAGGTTAAGAACGGACCTTCAGAATGAATTAAGTACGTAACCAGAGGTACCACTGTATTATATCTTATTATCATAGATTTCTGCGTATTAGGTGACTGGGCGTATTAGACGACCCCCCAAATTAGCAGCTGCAATTTGGGGATTTGTCTTATAAGCCCGGTCGCCTAATACGCTGGGCAGCTCTGCATCGGGAGAAAGCCGCCCAGCGCGGAGCTGAGCCTGCCGCTCGCTGCTTCGGAGCCGCCCCAGCAGCAGCGGGGGGGGGGGGGGCTCCACTCCTCGCCACTCATACCCGGCGTATAAGGTGAACCCCAACTTTGTAACCTCTTTTCTGTGGTTAAAAAGTCACCTTATGCGCCGGAATCTACTGTAGTTCCTCACTTTCACAAAGCCCTGTTAACACTACTCACATGCAATATTCTTATTCCCCATTCAAATATAGCTCTTGTTGATGATACATGAAGCATTTATACACATTTATATCAGATGGCCAACAATGTGACTGGAACAAAAGCAGCTTCTTGGGTGACAAGACCCATGGTTTCAAATAAACATCTCCTGGGCTTCTGCAATACCATTAGTAGGCCATTGGATGTGCTTTACCCTACATGGAAGTGAGGCAGTGTTGATGGAAGGAGATGAAACAGGAGCTGTATACAAGCCCTACTGACTCCTCAGCAGGATTCCTGCTGAACACTGCCTTCCTCTCAGGTTGGGTAAAAGGCATCCAATGGCCTACAAATGGTATCACTTCCATTCTTTTTCCTCCAAGCCACATGCTACTATATGCACACCTGGCTACATTTTCATGTTTATTTACCAGTTCTCCCTAAACCTGTATTCTTAGCCCCACCCCAAAAATCTTCACTTTCTTACTCCATGAGACCCCTGAATGTCCAAATGTTGCATCTCAGGCCCCCATGAATTTAATATACATATATAAATCCACTATTTGGAAGGACATAAGACATTATTCTGTGTACTTGTCAGTGTATGTCTCTTCTATTGATAGCTCTTTACTGCAGTCAATTTTCCTTAGAAATGAGCTATTCGTATCTTTCAAAATGAATTTGTACCAGCTCAGGAACTCATTTGATTATGTTGGCTGCTCAGAAGGGGGTTACAACACCTCAAAACTGTAGTAATCCATTAGCTGATTATGAATTTGAGGAATCTGTGCTGTGTTTGGAGCATAGTGTTTCTTCTGTTCCTACCTGATCTTTAACAAAGCAGTTTACATGTCCTTGGTCATTGCTCTCCATGGTTCCTTTAGGCATCTGCTGATGTTGGGATTACAGGGATTACAATATCAATGTCCTCCTCTGATCTTTATGGCTCTGACTGGCTTGTGGTTTTTCTATGCTTTTCTTTAATTGGGATGCACATTTAAAGCAGCTCCTTCTGGACTACTGTGTTATAGTTTCCATTTACATAATACAATACTTTGCATCCAAGATTTTAACTTTATGGGTTTACTGCTAGTGTACCTTAAATTTTTTACAGTGGTCCACCTCTAATTTTACACTAATAATGTTGCATTCCGAAACCATAAATGAAATATAGTCTAGCTGAAAAAGAACGTAATGGTGCAAAAGTGACAAAGAAGATGAGGCAGCAAAACAAGGCTTCCCAGGTAAAGTTAACTGTTGAACAAAGGCAGTAAAAGAGAGAAGAGGACATAAATCTGATGGCTTGTAAACAAAGGCAGCGTGACATGTATCTAATTTAAACTGCCTTTTCCTTTGTCAGCATTTTCTGTGTCCTCATCCTGGAGACTTCTCACACCACTCATTACAAAACAAAAACGATGGGAAACTATACTGAACAGGTAAATATTTTATTAAAATTAGGACAAAAAACCCTATGATTAGGGGTGCTTGAGCAGCACTGTAGCTAGCCTTGCTTGTTAGGTGGGGTGACCACGTTTGTAGGTGGGGCATTTTGGGGGGTGCCTTGTCATTGCTCATACTCAACAAACAGGGCTTGGAAAGACAATTTCTGGCCATCCCTCATAGTACAGCTTTTACAATACTCTGTAATGTTCGACGAAAAACTAATTGATGATGGTTCTTAGAGAAGGTAATTGTAATTAGAATTTATTTGGCAAATTAGGAACAGAAATAAAGCTAATTGTAAGGAAAGAAATCTGTGGATAACAAATGAAGACATTTAGCTAATAACTGCAATTTGCAAAATATACTTAAATACTAATGTAACTGTTTAAGATTTCATAGCTTTAAAATAAAACCCAGAAGTTTGCTTTTTACACGCTATTATTTAGCACAATTTACTTGCACATAAATTGGGTTCTTTCCCTATGAAAAACAACAACCATGCTTCTGGCTGTGGGAGTATTTAAACAGAAGTTATCTTTCAGAAAAGCACAAGATAGGAATTAAGTTTCAGTGTTGCATATGCAGGCAGCCCTGTATAGGGAAGCCAGAGTGGCAGGGGCAACCCAGTCAGATGAGTGGGGTACAACATTATTATTATTGTTGTTGTTGTTGTTGTTGTTGTTGTTGCAGAAAGAATAATTAGGGCATAACTAGAAACAAGGGACAATAATGATTCTCAAGATAGGGGAGGTAAAGCATATAGCAAGACTCAGAAGATTTGTTGTTGATGGTAATTTTAATTTAATACCCAGCCTTCATCCTGAGGTCCCAGAAGGGTTACAACAATTTAAAAGACAACATTAAAACCAGAATTAAACATTAAAACACAGAATTCCATCATACTGCAAAGGATTTCTGGTGTGTGTTCAAGCATGCACACTCAATTCATCCATGACTCACTGCTAGGCTTGTTGGGTATTATCAACACCAAAGAACAAGGAAGCCCAAAGGTACTGAGGATTAGGTTGAAATCAACAACACTCTGGATCACAATGTCACACCTTAACTTATTCTGAGCAAAAGTCTCTCTTCCTCATTGACAAATTTGCGCTTTCTCCCCATCTTGCACGTATCAGTGCAAGCTAGTCATTTTCTTCTCAGGAAAACTACTTGTGCCACTTGTGAAATGTGTAGGTGTAACTAGGTAATCTGGAGTGGATTTTTAAAAGAAAGAATGAAACTTAATTCTCAACACCTTTGGGAATCACCTTGGTTTTTGGATTTGCACTCCCTTCTCTTTCAGTGTTTTTGCTTTAACCAGCACCCCAAAGAATTATTAACACTGTCTCTAGAACATGCTCAACACACCCCTGCAGGAAGCTGTGCAATTCTTTCAGCAAAGATATGATTATCTATCACGGATGAATTCTTGAAGCCCACCCCAGGACACTCCATGATTCCTGGTCACATGCAAAGGCGGCATGGCAGTTCCTGAGCTCTCCTTATCCCAAGAGCAGGCAGTAATCTACACCAGCCCCAAGGACGCCATGTGCAAAAGGCTCTTGGCCCATCTTCTCCAACTTGCTGCTTCTCCTCCCAAGAACTGAAGGTCCCTTTGCCAGGACAGCAAAGCATAGGTGGCACATGGAGGCAGTCTGTGTTTCCTCCCTCCTCTGTGCTTCTATCTAAATCTGAAGAGGTTGCAATTCTTGGCTATTTGACATATGGTGACTAATGAAATTAGATAGCTAATTTATTGAAGGCTGTTCTGGTGATTTATGTGGTCATCACCTCATCAAAAGAATGAAGTTGGTTTCTTTTAACAAGGTGACAGTTAGAGGGCAGAAGAGAAGTACAATTTCACTGTAAACACAATTTGGGTGGTTTATTTTCAGGCCCAAAATTATTTAACGTCTAAGCATGTGCCCTGGGATTTATTTGTCCTATAAACATTGAATTCCTAAGGCTGCAATCCTAGGAGTGAGTCCTATTGTTCTCAGCGGGACTTACTTTTGAGTAGGTATGTGTAGGATTACTTACACTTACTTAATTAGAAATGCTTAATTAGAAATAAATCCTGAGGAAATAAATTGACCCTTACAGTAAACATGACTATATATAATCTGAGTTATAAATAATGTGAGAGGTGGACTTGGAAACATGTAGATGGGCAGAATGTTTATTCAACTTCTATCCCCTTTTTAATATATTTAGTCTTCAGGGTTGTAAGCTTGGACCAATACTTTTATTTTGATTTATATACAGAACCTAATTAATTTAGGCTTTATAGGAAGTGACTTCCTAATAACTGAAGTGCTTTTAAACTGGATATTATTTTAAAGCTATAAACTAATTCAGTGGCTGATATATATATACCTAAGTCATACTCAGCGTGCTCCATTGAAATCAATGGATTTACAGTTCCACTCTGAAATCATCCAGTCATTTCGCTCTGGGGATGTAGAAAGAATTGCGCGCGCGCGCGCACACACACACACACACACCTTGTGGGAGTCATAAAGCCACGGCAGAGGCTTGTATTGCTGCATGGTGCCTGCTAATCTCGGTGACCAGCATGTCTGTGCCTTGTAATGTATAGAATGTATTGACCTTATATGGAGTTGTGTTTCCTTTGGGCAGTGATTACCTTATATCGTGATGGGTGTAGTAAAAGCCATGACCAGGCGATGTAACTTGAGACATTGGCAGACGGCCATGCAGGCTGAGAGAGAGACAAAGGATAATAAAAAGTTACCGGAGAGAGAGAGAAGTCGAAGGAGCTGCTCCTCCATCCTGAAAACATTGCTGTCTCACTGTGTCCTTTTTTCAAATGCTATGCAGCACCATTTGTGACGGCTGGCTTCCGTCAAGTGGTGCCCCGTGTGAGGCAGACTAAAAGAAAACTGAGTGAGGCTGACTTAAAAGAAATCCGTGTGAGGCTTTTCGATCCACGCAACCGATATCATCGACTCTCCACGCCCGGCAAGGGTTACAAGCGCTACGCATCTATAGGATCCCGGTGAGTCGATCCCTTTTATCTTGAATTTGGAAAAATGGGCAGCTCTTTGTCTATTCCCCAACAGAAATTTTTAAAAGACTTAAAATTTCTCCTCTCCTCCAGCAAATTGGAAGTTCCTGAGGGTGATTTGATACAGCTTATTCTGGCCATAGATGAGCATTGCCCCTGGTATCCCCAAGATGGAACTTGGGAATTAAAACATTGGGACAAAATTGGAGCACATTTCCACGGACACCCTAGCATTGGCGTTCGCGTTCTGAATGCATGGTGCAAGGTTCGTTACGCCATGGGCTCTTTCTCACCAAAAAATATCTCCATGGCTGCATTGCCAACATCACCTCCGGCTTCTTTAATTCAGCCTGCTGTGTTACCGTCTGTTCCGATACTTGCCTTGCCAGCACCACCAGACCCCAAGCCTCCGGACTATAGTTCCTCGCCAGAGGATCCAATCCTGCAAAAATACCATGGTCTGGTTGGCAAAGATCCTACTTCCTCACCAACAGAACCAGCTACCCCTTTTCAACGTGTAGTCCTTGCCTGTTCCTTAATTCAGGATACTGTGGCATTTCCCGTTATAGTGCCGCCTGCTGGCGCTCCAGCAGGCACCCAAGCCCAACACCAACCTTTTGACTTTAAGATCTTGAAAGAGTTGCAGCAGTCAGTAAAGACCAATGGACTCCAAGCCCCATATACGCAGGCGCTTTTGGAAGCCACATTAGCCCAGCTCTTGGTTCCAGATGACATAAAGCTTTTGGCCCATACAGTGTTACCTCCATCAGCGGGCGTATTGTTTGCCCACGAATGGGAAATTGCCTGCCGTGCATATGCTCCGGCTTTATTACAACAAATCAGAGGGAATAATCCAAATATTACCCTCGCAGACGTCCTAGACGCCATGATGGGGTGTGGTCCCTTTGTTCAGGCTTCAGTGCAAGCCACACTGCTGCAAATCTTATTGAGGGATACCGCTCTGGCTGCTAAACAAGCAATGAGAAAAATCCCAGAACCCAGTATTCAATTGAGGTGGGGTTCAATCAGGCAAGAGGCAAGAGAATCATATTCTTCCTTTATGGACAGGCTGCTTACAGCAGTGAGTCGCCAAATTGAAAATCCTGAAGCCAAACAAATAATTATCAAACAATTGGCCTTTGAAAATGCCAATGAGGATTGTAAGGTTGCATTACGACCGATAATACACAATCCTACCACAGACACAGCAGCCATGCTTCGCATTTGTCAATCTGTGGGTACAGCCTCCCACAAGGCTCATCTGCTGGCGGCGGCACTAAATGAAAACCAGCCTGTAGCCACCGATAAAACGTGTTTCCAGTGTGGCAAACCAGGACACACAGTTTCTTTTCTATCCCACTGGTACCAGCAGACAGGGAACGGTTTGCTTTTACATTGCCAGTATATAACAATTCGCAGCCCACCCAGCGATATCAGTGGGTTGTCCTGCCTCAGGGCATGCGGAACTCCCCTACACTTTGTCAACATTTTGTGGGTGAAGCATTGAAACCTTTCTGCATGCGCCACCTAGAGGTGATATGTTATCATTATTGTTCCCCAATTGACTATCCCTTCAAGCATAACGCTTGTGCAATTACAACAACTTCTTGGGCATTTGAATTGGGCTCGCTCTTTCCTTGCATTACCTACCAGCACATTATCACCATTGTTTTCGGCGCTCGCGGGACACAAGGATCCAGCAGATGTAATCCAGGTCACTTCGGCGATGATCACTGCATTACAAACCGTTAATCAGCACCTGCGATCTATTCTCGTGGACAGGATCACAGAAGCCTCTGCACACGAGCTGCATCTGGCAGTGTTTGCTACACCATTGTTGCCAACAGGAATTTTATATGCTCAGACGGACAAGAGAAAGACTATTTGCATTATAGAATGGCTACATTTACCGCACACCCCACCAAAAAACATTTATTCAGTAATTGAATCCACATCAGACATTGTCATTAAAGGACGTTCACGTGCCATGGCCTTGAGCGGTTCTGATGTTGCATCAATTTATCTGCCTTTCTCACAGACTGAACAGCACCACTTATTCCTAACTAATGCTGCCGTGCAAATTGCTTTGGCTGATTTTATAGGTGTCATCATTTTTAACCCTCCAAAGGATGACCGTTTGACATTTCTGACACAGGTCACCTATGTTTTGGCTACCCCCTTGTCTCTCACACCTCTCCCCTCTGCATTGACCCTTTTCACGGATGGAACAAGAAGTAGGGGGGTGGTGACATGGGAGGAGGGAGGAAAATGGAAATGTTTATTTACCCTTCCACAGTCTTCTGCTCAGCGAGTTATAATGTGATTCTTGCCTTTCAATCCTTTTCTGCTCAACCTTTCAATCTTATTGTGGATACTCAGTATGTATATCGCATTTTTACCGTATTACCAATATCTTATGTAACTCCTTCCTTGGATTCTGACTTGTTTTCTTTGTTTCTTGCCCTGCAAGCCTTACTTCAGCACAGAGAGTTCCCTTATTATGTTGCACATCTTCTCTCCCACACATCGCACCCAGGATATATAGCAGAGGGCAATGCAGGAGCAGATGCAGTGTTGAGGGACATTTCTGCCTTTTCTCTCTTTTCTGATCCTGTACTATGTCATAACACTTTTCACCTCCCTGCAAAAGCATTGGCAAAGCAGTTTGCTATTCCTTTGGCCCAAGCAAGGGATATTGTTTCCCAATGTGCTTCTTGTTCTAAATCTCAGCTGGCCATTCCTTTTGATGCTGTCAATCCTAGGGGCACATCTGCATTGGCGTGTTGGCAGATGGATGTCACACACATGCCTGTGTTGGCTCCACTCTCCAAGGTTCACCTCACGGTAGACACCCACTCTGGATTCATATGGGCTACGCCCATGAGGGGGGAAACAGCTCGGCATGTCATTCAACACACTATTCGCTGTTTCTCAGTCATGGGTAAACCTGCGCGCATCAAAACTGATAATGGTCCAGCATATATTTCTAAAACATTTTCGGAATTTTGTATGTTGTGGAATCTGAAATTAACTCATGGTATACCCTTTAACTCCACAGGGCAAGCTATAGTGGAAAGAGCACACCTGACGTTCAAAGCACTATTGCTTAAACAGCTTGGTGGCCGAAGCATACCAACAGCAGATATCCCTTCGGCAGTCCACCAAGTTCTTTTTGTACTTAACCATCTTTTATATCCACATCTTAGGACCCATACCCCCGCTGAATTGCATTTTAGGAAGGAGGAGGCACTCCCCCACCCCTTGGTGGTGTACCGACGCTTGCCTGATCCCGCGTGGCATGGACCTGTCCCGTTGATCACGGGGGGACGAGGGTACACGGCAGTGGACGTCAAGGACAAGCCTTTGTGGGTTCCAGCTCAATGCGTACGGCCATGGCGAGTCCCTTCAACTGCGGAAGTGCCTTCCTCACCATCTGCCTCGCCATCCTTTGCTGCACCGTTATACAAGGAAGAGAAGCAGACGACCCAGTCCAGTTGAAACCACCATATTTCACCTTATCAGCTGGCAGGCCGCTGTTGTCAGAATCCTACTCTGGCTGGCAGTATCCACGGCTCAGCCACTCTCGAACTAGAAGAACAGCGTTGTTGAATAAGACTTTTAGGGGAGAAAATTATCATAAGATTTGGAGGGATAATATTTTTGTACAAGATATGATTATGTTTGCCAGTTTATTGCATGCTTCTAAATGTTGGTTGTGTATGCACATGCCCCCCCTCCTTCCGTTGATCCATGGGCATGGTTATATTCTTGGCTTCCGGATGGAAGTTGGCTTCGACATTTATTGATTTTAGTGATCCTTATAGTAGTTATTTGCGTTATTTTGTGTTGCTGTATACAGTGTATTCCTTCTTTAATCTCTGTATGTACTGCATGGTTCTCCCGTCAGCGGCCTGCTTCCGGCCTCACGAGGGTTGCCTATCGTGCTCGGTATAATCGTATTGGTAATGAAATATATGACTCTGATTAATAAAATAAGGAAAGAGGGCATGTGGGAGTCATAAAGCCACGGCAGAGGCTTGTATTGCTGCATGGTGCCTGCTGATCTCGGTGACCAGCATGTCTGTGCCTTGTAATGTATAGAATGTATGGACCTTATATGGAGTTGTGTTTCCTTTGGGCAGTGATTACCTTATATGGTGATGGGTGTAGTAAAAGCCATGACCGGGCGATGTAACTTGAGACATTGGCAGACGGCCATGCAGGCTGAGAGAGAGACAAAGGATAATAAAAAGTTACCGGAGAGAGAGAGAGAAGTCGAAGGAGCTGCTCCTCCATCCTGAAAACATTGCTGTCTCACTGTGTCCTTTTTTCAAATGCTATGCAGCACCATTTGTGACGGCTGGCTTCCGTCAACACCTACCCAACCAAGCTTTAAAAACCTCATATAGATGATACCCTTGGTCCCCCCCTCCTCTCAGTATGGTGACACACCCAATGATTTCTACTGTTGTCTCATACCACACCCACAGGTATGAATGAAACTTTGTGTGATATGGTGGTATATTGATCAAGAAGCCATAGTTCCATAACAGAACAGGTAACATACAGTGTAAAGGGAATATTAGAAATTGAGACACTAGCATTATAGCCAGGAAAATGTATGCAATAATCCCTGCATCTGAATGCACTCTGTCAGTCTACTGAGCATTCCAGTCCTCACTGGGCTGTGTTTTTAAAGCAGTTTTTTTTTTCTTTTTGCACCCTTGATTGTATTTTTGAGAAATGTTGGCACTGTATGCACTGTGAAAAAGACTGAAAAAGCAGGGCAGCCTCTTCCCACAGATTTACATTCTGATAAATGCAACACAACAGTGGAAAGAGGGATGTAGAGAGAAAAGGAAAACAAGGAAACTGCTACCAGTTCTTAATGTTGCATTGCTCTTATAAATATGAGCTGGAATGAAGACAGAAGAAGTCAAATGGCAGCTGGTCTGTCAGATGAGTCAATGGAGTGGGACCAGTAACCCATTTTCTCCCTCTCCTGCAGTGAGTTGTAATGAATGCTGATGTACGGCTGTTTGGGGAAGAAAGGCACCAAAATCTGTTAGTTCCATCCAGGTGTATTGTGTCTTTCTCTCTGCTGAAGCCAGGTAGGATGAAATGGGCATCTAGCCCCTGGTCATGAACCGGCACATGGGTGGTGGGTACAGATTCAGTCGCTCTGACTCAAGGAATGAGGCAGTTGAGCAGCTTGGCAGCTGTATCCATGACTGAGCAGTCCTATTTAGGATCCCCTCTGCTCACCCCGAAAAGGGCGAGGGGCTAGAAAAGGTGCTCTAAACATAGCCTCCCTTTCCCCCTGACTGGAATACCATGCCCAGTGGGGTCGTAAAATACAATTGAACTTTGGGACATGGAATATACAGAATTTGTTGGATAACACAGATAATGAGCGTCCCGAACGCAGTACTGTCATCATTGCAAGAGAGTTGTGATGTTTTAACATTGATATTGCAGCACTTCAAAAAACTTGAATCTCAAGAGAAGGACAACCGAAGGAAGAAAAAAGAGGCTACACATTCTTTTGCAAAGGTCTACCTGAACAAGAACATTGAATACATGGAATAGGCTTTGCTATCAGAAACGATCATGTGAAGCACTTGACAGAAGTCCCTACCGGCATTAATGAGCAGCTTTCAACCCTTCAAATAAAACTCACCAAAAACCAACAGGCTACTATTCTAAGTGCTTGTGCACCAACACTGGATGCTGGTGAAGACAGTAAAGAAAGTTTTTATTCTCAGCTGTATGCCAGCCTGTCAGAGATGCTGAAGGAGGATAAAATTATCCTCCTGAGTGATTTTAATGCAAGAGTTGGGCAAGATTTCGATCTGTGGCCTGGAACTATTGGAAAATAAGGAATTGGCAACAAC